CCCATTGTGAGACTCCTAAGCAGTGTGCAACCGCGATCCCGCTCGCGGGATTCCAACTCAGGGCCTTCGGTCTCTCGCGCAAACGCTTAACCAACTGGACCACTGAGCCGGCATCTAATGGTGATAGTGTCTAACATCAACCAATCCACGAAATTGCGCGACCATCTTCCATTGTACTGAGGTAGATAACTGTCTCTACCCAACATGGATTAGCTCCACTGATCACGGCTTCTCACTAGAACTCCGAGAATTCCCTCACGAAGCCAGTCACTAGTGAGCACATGTTGATTACTAGTATGGGGGTTGTGGAGATTATTACGTTTTTGATTGAGATCATGAACAGATTGATGTTAGACCACCACCTTTGTCTATACAATATATTCAATATCCTTTGATCGGATACCATTAGCAACAACCTATTGTGGGAGAGAACAAACCAAATTCCAGTTGAGCAGGAAATCAGGAACATACGTTGGAAGTAGATAGGAAAAACATTGTGGAAATAATCAAACTGTACCACGAAATAATCGTTAAGTTGGAAATTCGAATAGAAACGGAAAAGAAGAACACTAAAGAACACACTGTGTAGACAACTGAAAGCAGACATCAAAAGAATGAGTAACAACTTGAAAGGATTGTGGTGGTTGACCTATGCTCATCGACAACGGATGACAGGCGTGAGTAAGTAAGTAAACTATGAATCAATCAACATGGTTTAATCTGTGGGGAAAACATAGAGTTTATATAAAAGTAAATATATAATATCAATGGATTTCTTATGATTATTTACACATATTAATTATCAGTATTAACCTCATTCATTTTGTTTAAATAATCTTGTTGTGAAGGCCCAGAAAGTTCCTCGAGAATAGTCCAAAGGGGCCCTGAAAACGTTAGGAAACATTTTATCCAGTCAGCACTGAATAGAAGTTTCTCAGAATCATCTAGAAAGTTATGGGTCATGTGTCACACTTGTGATTGGATGATTACCTATCTTGCTGTTAGATTTAGTAGGGTTCCAGAAGCTTCCAGAGATTCAAGGCCATCTGAAATGCTATAAATATCCTCAATTTCCCTGGACATAAACTTTCCTTTGAAGTAAAGCGTTCCTTCCATATTTCGCGCCTTTCCTCTCATTTTCAAGTTGCTGTGTAGATCTAGCCTGGTGGTTATTAGAAGAGCTTGGGAAACTGATTCAAACATTCAGTCAGAAGATTTATCAAATCATACGATACATAAATATATATGGACAATAAAACAACACAACATGTTAACATTCATATCAATACATACTGACAATGATGAGAACATATCAGATTGTGATTGATCTGATTATGAGTAGAAAAACTGCACTTCAACATGCAAATCATATTCTTTTGATTAGGAATAGTTGATAAATCTTTGGTCAGTTTAGTATTAACGTTACAAACTGTAAAGCTGTTGGATCTGGCTTTTAATCAGACAGTTTCCTAAAAATTACACGTATGCCTTGCTGACCAGTGTCAAATAGAGAGGAAACCAAAACTAATCAAAGTGTCTTGATGGTTACGTCCAATCATGAAACATTTGAACATAGTGCACATGATACGTAGTCCCATGTCCTAGTGATCATACCACGGCTTGATTGACAGATTCTTTTCAATAAAACTAAAGAGCTTGATAGGTATAACAGTGGTCACTTCAGTAATCGCTTAGTTGTATACGTATGCTCATATTTTGTTTCGCACTCAAATGTCTAGATTTGCATCAATGTTTAGTAAATATTTATATTCATATCGAAATACTTTCATGTTGCAACTATTCGTTAACATAGATTTGATAATTCCTCAATGAAAACAGATAACTAACCAATGGGAAGTGTAAGAAACTCCAGTTGTGATTAAGTGGTGGTTAGAGGTAGTCTATAGGAAACCCTGGACCCGGGTTTCGTGCTATTTGGCACTCGCCAGCAAGGTGCACCTGTAATAGCACGAAACCCAGGTCCAGGGTTTCCTGTCGACTACCTCCAACCACCATCTTATCTCAATATATAGTGCACGCAGTGTCTAGTCACCATATTGCAACATGGTCGATAGCATTCGATCTACACTAAATAAGGACTTGACACACATGACATTGATCACCACCCAGTGATCATTCAATTGTGAAAACTCTCGTTGTAAATAATGAGAGGACAAATCAATTAATATGTTAGATGCTTTCGTATAGGAGGAAATCAAAGTGAATATAAAATCTGTATTATTATTACTACTAATTTCGAGCATCAAACTAAAGACTTCTCAAATCTCTAAGGATCATAATCAGATAGCTAGTGATTTTCAGTACTACAAATGTGGTCTATACTACTCATGTTGACATATACAAGTAGTATGTAATATCAATCAGAAGTTGAATGCCCACTAACAGAAGATTGAGGAAATTCAATTGAAGAGACTAGGAATGTAAAAAGGAGAGTAGTTGTAATAACAACAAGATTGAAGGAGTCATGAGGTATGGAAAGGACAACTGATGGAAGATTTGGAAATGATGTATTTTTTGTATAGTTTTCTTATTTTACGGTGGTACTCCAATTGGTTTTCCCTAATTGACTTCACGTTAACTACACAAAAACATACACTTGTTTACTTCATGAGAAAAATTCAATTTATTATCATCGTACTTTTATTGTTGTTGCGTGAATCACTGCACCAAATTGTTGTGGCTAAACATTAACACCGTTGGATGCCGGCTCAGTGGTCTAGAGGTTATACTTTTGCGGAAGCGACCATTAAGTCCTGGGTTAGAGTCTTGCGAGGCGGTGCCATGGGTGTACACTGCTGATGAGTCATATACTAGGACAAAACGGCCACCTAGTACTTCCATGTTTTCCATGGTGGTCTAGATTGAATTGGCTTACGAACTAAACTATTAAATTTTTAATTCCATGTTTATAATAACCTGGACAAGAGAAAACCTGTTTATTATCAAGTATTTATAAGAGACTTTACAATAAATCTTGACAACTCAATTAGATAAAGTGGAATAACTCACGAATAAAACATTCAGGTAGTAGTGATTCTAATCGATGTAATGGATTACGTGAAGTTTGAGACGATTGATTCATAGTTAGTTCATGGTTATATAATATACCCTTGTGGGCCAGGGTAATTTTACATTGGTTTTCAGGAGAACCAGCCACCATCCAGACTTTCACGTGACAAACCAAACAGTACAGCTCAATCCCGTTTAACAGGAGAACCAAGAACCTTATAGGCTTTAAAACTACAATCTGAATAGTACAGCTCAATCTTGTGACGCAACCACACAGGTACCAAGCATCCTAGTGGAAACGATTGATTAACATTTCGCAAATGAAGTGTTTACAGTATGGTGCTCAGATTTTACTAAGAGATTATGTAATTTTGTGTTCAAAGAGATTCGATTGTTTGTTCTCGTTCACAACGATAATACTCGGCGATAACATCTCGGAATATTGTTACTTGCATTAGTGCTCAACACATTTGAGGCATATACTACAGATAAACACCATTTAAAACTGTATTTATCACCAGCTCATTGAGACTATTGACATATTTCTACAAAAGACTTAATGAAATTCAAACTGAAGTTTCAACATGTTCTTTCAAATAACCCGACAGCATGGACCCATTGTGATATCAAATGATATACGAATGCTGTACGATGTGAAAACCTTGACATTCACATTTTTGAAATAACAACAAAACATCTTACAGTATTTACTAAAATTGATTATGATGATGATGATGATGATGATGATTATGATGATGATGATGATGATGATGATGATGATGATGATGATGATGATGAACTGTTAGATGGTGGGTATCGAAAGTGGCCAATCGAAAGTGCAAAGCTTGTCAGAAGAAGGTTGAGGAAACCGAGGAGAAGCGAATGAGAACAGAGAGTAATTGGTATGGAAACGAAGGAACAACAAAGTCTGAAACAATCGATTGATATTTTACAAATGAACTATTTGCTGTATGGTTCTCACACTTTATTAAGATATTCTGTAATATGTGTATTCAAATACATTCGACTGTACCCACTTGTGCTCTCATTCACTGCACTACTACTCATGAACAGACATGAAGGAATATTCTGAGAAACGGTGTTCATTGATTAACTACTGTATCACACTGACTAATACAACGTTTACAAGTTATTAAATGAATGTAACTAGGATTAGTTGTTGACAGGAATTTGTGTGATCATGTGAAACATGTCAACAAATTCTCCAGATTCTAAAGTGACTTACTCGATAACCAGTGATCACATGAGAAATATATTAAGATTGAAAAACAGGAGTGAAATAGTCTTCTCTCCAAAAAGTAAACAAACAGATAGACAAACAATCAAACAGATATGAATTCATTACTTGCATACATAGAAAGAAATTTCACCAGCACCACTACTACTACCTTATTTCTATTGCTTCATAAGAATACACTCATACATGAATTACATGGAGGCAAATCAATCCATCAATCTTTTGATTGATACTTCAAGTATGTTGCTTTCTGTGAGTGCTATCATGGAAACTAATTATTACGAATCCACATGTGAGTGTGTGTACGTGCAGGCATATGCTTCCGATAATGTATATTCATGAATAGATATACATGTGTGTGTGCGTACGTGTGTGATTGAGTAAGAAGAAAAACAATATAAATGATACAGTGTGTATAGATTACCCATTTCGCCATCTGATACACATTATACACAAACAATCTCTAATTCACTCCGACTATTTCCTGCTTAACTCACAGCTTCATTCAATATCAAAATCAACACGGTCATAACAACACAATCTACGGCCAGCGATCAACACACACACACACGCACACACACGTATATCATACAGTTAATTGTCAGTGAGATATCCGAACACAATAGAGACAGACAATTCGCATCGATAAATAATTCTGGCAGTAACAATTCAATCGACACGCAGTTATCGAAAAGCCAGTCGTAGAAGAAATATGGTTTCGTGTGCAGAGAAATACACCAACAAACAGCATATTATCGCCGATCGTCTACGATTGACTTCAAGCCCATTGGTGCGTGCATGTTTAGGCGAATTCATGGGTACAATTATTTTGATGATCTTCGGTAGTGGTGTGCTAGCACAAGTGATCCTCGGTGACCATGGCAAACATGCTCATGGAACATTCATTTCAATCAGTATGGGGTGGGGTTTCGCAGTGTATATGGCAGTGATGTTCTCAGGACAGTGTGGTTCTGGACACTGTAATCCAGCTGTGACTCTGGCAGCTGCAGTCGTCGGTAAACTGCCATTCCGTCGTATACCGTTTTATACATTCTTTCAAGTGCTCGGTGCTTTCCTCGGTTCATTGGTTGTCTTCGCTCTATATCGTGAAAAAATCACAGAATATGCCAACTTGCATGACAATGGGAAGTTGTTGGTGAATTCCACAGGTGGTATATTCGTCACCAATCCATCGGCATCTCATCTCACATGCTTTCTCGATCAAATTCTCGGTACTGCATTGTTGACTGCAGGAGCGTTCGCCATCACCGATCCGAATGGATGGAAACTTCCAGACTACTTACATCCACTACATTTGGCATTTATGGTCTACGCTATTGTTGGTTGTTTCGCACTGAATGCCGGAGCTGCTCTAAATCCAGCTCGTGATTTGGGACCCAGACTCATGATATTCATGTTCGGTAAGTAGTCCATTTCCCATTCATACTATTCGCTTACTCTCAATTCTCACTAACGAGTATTAACAGTTGTATGAGTAGACTCACATTTTACTTCTTCCACAAACATATCTGAATCTCAGATGATATCACTTCACTAATCGATCGATTGACTCACTGACTATCTGAGTGATTGACTGACTGATTGACCGACTGACAATTAACTGCCTCAATCACCGACTACACTAAAATCGAATAATTCGAGTTTTGGTCAATGTTCAAACATAACTGATTTTCGTTATCATTGGGAATTGAATCAGATGTAATGTTCACAATTTTGTCAAAGTTATACAACAGCATCACACTCACATCATATTTCATTAGTCTGATGATAACTTCACCAGACCATTAGTTCTCACGATAGTAATTCTCATATTATTACAACATCCGTTCATGTACTTGACAGTGAGTAGATTTGTTTGTAACACATTATAACGAAGTATCAACAGGGGAAGTAACTCAACATGTACGTGGTCAAAATACTTCTTCTCCGTATGTGGCCCGAATGTCTCCCTCAAAATACTACAAATATTTCGAATTCGATATAAGCGGAAAAATTGTGGTTAGTGTGTGTTGATGGAATGTTAGTGAATATCGACGTTATATTGAAAGGATGCTTTGATTGCTTGATCTGGTGGCGATAGGAATTTCTGTTTCACATCAACTTAACTGAAAACACTAGTGATGATGAGTCACTACTTCCAACCAATTCATTGTAATGTACTCAGTGGGATAAGCAAGTGATTAGATTAAGAAAACACCACAATGTTCACTGTGATAGTTCATACTGAATTTCCCATACTCATATATGCATAATGTAAAACAGATTGATTAATTATTGTGTTGCTCACTGCACCATCGATCAAAACAGTTGTGAACATTTGATCAACTTTGAAAGTGACGTGACTTGGTTATTCGCACTTGTACTTCCCACACATGTGTGAACATTATGTCGATAATGCGATTTACTGGGAAATTACTCATCCATTTCATAACAAATATGGACATTTGTTAAGACGATGAGTTGATTAGTCTCTTCCAAAATAGATCTGTGTGGATGACAGACAGTTCAATCAACAGTGAGGTTATCACTGTTTATTACTGTCATTATCATACAAATAAACACTTCAATGTCACCAAATATTTTACACCCATATGTATTTCAAACATTGTTGTTTGTTGAGTAGGTAGTTAAATACTGAAGAGATATTTGATCATTTCCATAGACGAACAAGTCTAAATCCAGACACAATTTTGCCAAACTTCATCGAAATACTGATGGTTGTTTGTACCAAGTAGACTCTATCAATGTAACAATATGATATCTATTCGGTGATTTGATTAGGAAGCTCACTTTGTCATTCTCAGTCACATTGTCAGTACATAACTAAAATGTTTACAATGTCTCTAAATAACTCTACACTGTGATTTACCATTTTGATTCGATAGCATTAAGAGAGATGAGTTTATTTCAGTGATCATCAGATACACACTGACAGTGATTTAGTCGACCACATGATTAGAAATCCTATACATTTACATCATCCACAATGTGCTCGACGAGAGTGGCTGTCAAATTAACTGATGATCGTGATGATTATGATGATGATGATGATGATGATGATGATGATGATGATGATGATGATGTTGATGATGATGATGATGATGATGATGATGATGATGATGATGATGATGATGATGATGATGATGATGATGATGATGATGATGATGATGATGATGATGATGATGATGATGATGATGATGATGATGATGATGATGATGATGATGATGATGATGATGATGATGATGATGATGATGATGATGATGATGATGATGATGATGATGATGATGATGATGATGATGATGATGATGATGATGATGATGATGATGATGATGATGATGATGATGATGATGATGATGATGATGATGATGATGATGATGATGATGATGATGATGATGATGATGATGATGATGATGATGATGATGATGATGATGATGATGATGATGATGATGATGATGATGATGATGATGATGATGATGATGATGATGATGATGATGATGATGATGATGATGATGATGATGATGATGATGATGATGATGATGATGATGATGATGATGATGATGATGATGATGATGATGATGATGATGATGATGATGATGATGAGATGATGATGATGATGATGATGATGATGATGATGATGATGATGATGATGATGATGATGATGATGATGATGATGATGATGATGATGATGATGATGATGATGATGATGATGATGATGATGATGATGATGATGATGATGATGATGATGATGATGATGATGATGATGATGATGATGATGATGATGATGATGATGATGATGATGATGATGATGATGATGATGATGATGATCACCATCATCAACCACATTTAACGTCATCACAATAAGCATTCTCGTTAGTTCGTAGCCTCAAATCCACTGTAATCATCATTTATCACAGTTCAATCAGAAATTTTTTTATAACATAAAGGGGAAATTATGTGAATGTGCTAAATGTGGACCATCTAACTGAGTTGTTCGTGTTCGTACTTACGGTCAGATTACATCTTTGAAAACATTATGCACACATATCTATACTTATAGTATTAATCTCTACTGGTATTGAATGATAACAAACACACTGTCACATTCGAGGGAAACATGAATGACATGCTCGACTGATGAAGCCTATTTTCAATAACTTCGGTACTTTCAGGTTGGTGTCATGTTGAAATCGGGAACGATGTAGGTCATTGAAAAACAATTATGACTGGATTATGATACAAGTTGATCGGCCTATCACCATTAATAACATTATCACTATTAATACCAAAACTTATAATATTATAAACATTAATACGAATATTAAAAATGAAAAATAGTGTGAGTTCATTCATCAATCAAATTGTCTTGTATGTTCACTTCAATCCAGTAAGGTCCAATTCACTTCATTTCAGATGGGTTTAGTTTAGTTCAACTCCCTTCAATCAATATTACCCACAATCGTCATCATTCACTATTTCGACAGTAACACATTACTCACAAATCATCAGAGAATCACGATATTCAATCAGTCATTTAATCATTTCATCACATTAATCACACAAATCGTAGATGAATCGATAGAAAGAACTCGTCTATGAGAGATGATTGTGAAGTAACACTATCACAAATTCAATACCACAATGCAGCTTCTGAATACCTAACCACAACATCAACACTGTTTAAATGAACAATGATAACGATGCATACACTGAACGATCTATTCGCCACACATCATTCTCATCCATTCACAATGTGCCAATTAGAATACCGGATGATCACACATATTCCTCGTATCATCTCATGCTATTCAGATTGAGAAATTCTGTGATCAGGCATGTGCACAAATTACTCGCTTACAAAAAATCAGAAATAGTCAATCAGCTTTAAAACATGAGAGAGAACATTGGTGGTGCAAAGTTGAGTGACTTGTCGAACAGTCGAACATTTCGCAGTGTCTCACATCAGTCATTTCATTGGAATTGAGATACAATGTATTGGGTGGATTATGTTTATGTGTGTAGTGGGAATTCACGATCAAATGTCACTGTAGAGGAGAGTGCAAATCGATCAGAGGAAGGATTAAAGTGATCTCATACTTTTAATACGAGATTCTAACATGATTCGAAAACGTGATTCAACTAGGTTTCTTAATTGTCGATACAATCACACAAATATATGGATGATAGATCACTTCCACTGACCTTGATTCTCGTGCATGCTTACACTAAACTGAACGTAGTGATGTCACTTCTGTCGTGAACCACTGAACATAACTTCCTTTGTACTACTACTTACATTCATCTAATCATCTCTTGCATAGAATCACTACAGTTCGTATTCAAAAATATTTTCAATATATTCAATGAATAACATAACGATCAATATGCATGATATTCAGTTTGTAACCTATCCATATATTCTCACTTAATTATACACTGTTTCATATCACATGTTTAGGTTGGGGTAACCAAGCATTCAGTGGAGGAAACTACTTCTTCTGGATACCAATAGCTGGACCATATATTGGTGCTGTGATCGGTGCAGTCTTATACGAATTGACTATCGGTATACATTTGGATAGGAAATCCGACTTCGTTGTGGACATTGATTATGAAGAATCACAACGCGATAGTAAGAAGTTGATGGCGTCTGCATCACCGTAATCGTTGACAACCAGAAACAATCCTTCCACTCCTTCTATTCCAACACGCGCACACACACGCACACAAACACACACTGTTATTAACGTTGATGCATAACAACCATTCTCACTGTTTTCATCATTCAGATTTTCTAAATATTTAACATTGTAAAATAGTCTGTTGATTTACGTTTCATCCAAATCACTTGATCATTCGATGTGAACATCTATGCCAAAATACAAGATATACTAATACACAATTCATATTCTCAATAAAATCGAAAATACACATTGTTCAATTCACTGATGAAAGTAATTGTTTGTTGTTTTTCTTCAGTCTTATCGAAACACTCTATCTCAGAACATTCGTCACATGGAACACGTTCACATCTCAGTGGACGTGATCAGCAATGTAATATTGCTTTAATCAATCTTCTACATTCCCATTTTATACCGAATTCCGTTTACCACTAAACTGACAACTCGGATCAGTGTAGATCGACAGTGTGTTTTGTTACACAATCTAATAGAATGTTCACAAATTAATAGTTAGAGAATAGTGAAATGTTTGAGAAACACAAACAATTGTTCAGCTCATAAAGCGCTCTCCTCATCACCATTAACATTTTTGTAGATTAGTTGAAAAGAACAGGTATGATTAGTCGAGTGAACTGAGTACACATAACATTCACTGATGTTGTCTAATGGTGAATATTCCGATGAAACAGAGAGCATTATCTCCCATCTATTCATCACCATTACATAGAGAGAATACCGGATGTGTGTGAGATTTACCACACGGACGTAGTAGAATTCGAATTCATTTGTGATGATGGAAATATTGCTGTGTTGTTTGATTTGTTGAAAATGGATCACACTTTCACGTTATTAATGACTGAATCACTAGCTGATTGACTGACTGACGACAAGTTGTTCGTTGTTGCATTATCGAATGGCTTACATACTTCATGCTTTAACAACACATCTACACTCTCTGTCTCATTAATCACACTACACTACACTACACTACCCTACATTACACTACACTGATTACATTATTGACGTCTTCACGCATATTGTGAATATATCTCATTCAATTAATATATATCTCCACAACAAGGTAGTTTACATCAGTCAATGCTGTTATGTTCAATAACAGAGATGATCGAATTGCGGCATGTTTATCAATAATTCTGTCACAAATTAAACATGAATCCAATATGATTTTGAAATGTTGATTATTTATGCATAGTTGACCTAAGCAAAGTAGATGATGAAGTTAAATTCCCCTGGTTGTTGTTATTATGAGGAAATTCGAATGTTTAGACATATTCACATTCACATATTTGATGGTCTGTTCGAAATCATTCACATTCTCTATGACACACTGTTTGATGGAAAAATACTCATTCATTAGTGGTCCATTCATGTTCTTAATAGAACGATGTGAACCCGGTCTCACTCGTTTCGACTTACACTAAACCTATCAGTACTAATTTCACAAGTCATCACTCACTCAATTCACACAATTGCAGATTTACTGAGTTCAAGAGAACAATCAATATTCACACATTTCTTATCATTGAAAGACATCAGTTGAAGTGGTAAGAGTTTAGTTACTCTAATGCATACCATCCATTCGATACTCATTCGAAATTAGGTAGTTCAGGTATTGATTGGAACGGTGATGATGATGATGATGATGTTTCGTGCATCTGTGTTTATCTTTCGGCAAAACACTATCACTCAATCAGAAATGCACCACAATGCACAATGCACAATCAACCACAAAGCAATATAAACGACTCAAGTGTGTAATCACAATGAATTAGTGTAAATTAGAAATAAACATCTGATAACATGTAGGCTTGTTGTTCAGTAACGCACTTAACATTGATTTGGAATTGTGTAATTGAGGGACCACATGTTCCATAAGATTGACAGATTGAATAATGAATGTGAGAACTGGAGAAAATATGGTATGGAGAAATATTTACTGAATGATTTTATGAAGTAATTCAGTTCTACTGAACATTCGTCATCAAGCGGATAAGAATGTTCTGAATATGCATGATCACATAAATTTGTGAGGCATTATAATCAGTTGTTGAGTATGTACTATTTTTAAATATCCGAATCCGAATCAAATGTATCATTCAGTACAAGTTTTTGTGTGTTTGTATTCTGTAACATAATCTAGTAGAATGTTCATTGATTGCAAACTGGAGAATTGTGAAATGTTTGAGAAACACAAACAATTGTTCAGCTCATAAAGCGCTCTCCTCATCACCATTAACATTTGTAGATTATTTGAAATGAACAGGTATGACTATTCAAATGAATAAAGTACTCATATCATTCATTGACGTTGTGGATAGAATAATGATAGAATGATCAGCAACCTGAAAGTTAATCCATCGGATTCGGTCAGCATCATGTTGTAAATAAACATATCATTGGTCACTATTGAACGATTAATTTTCGATTGCGATAATGAACCGATTGATATTAGACCATCACAAGTGAAAACCTGGAAGCACTGGACGGCCGTTTCATCCTATTGTGGGACTCCTAAGCAGCGCGTATCTACGATCCCGCCCGCGGGATTCGGTAAACAATTCTTTAGACCATCGTTTCTCTAATAGCTAAAGTAGTAACGTCTCATACTGTGAAACTGATTAACATGGCTTAGAAACTCTCAGACAATTGATGAATATCAACTAACACGAAACGTAAGTGAATTAAAGTATTCTCTGACTGCCTTCAACTGCATAATATCTCAACAAAGGTTAAATAGTGTAAAGTCAATTAAAGCGGTGGTTTCATTATAACTTGTTAGCACAAGCTTCTTGTATGATTTTTCACCCTCCACAATTCAAATGGCCAATAACTACACGTTCATATTTCTTGAAATTATCTATAATTCCATTTAGGTATTTGTGTAGAAATTTAATGATTCACATAAGATCCCATTTCAGTAGATTCATAATACTTAGAAACTATATAGTTTAAAGTTAACTATCTTCACTTGTAATATTGTGGTGTATGCTACTTATGTCGACATCAGTAATACATTACACTAATCCGTGTCGGGTCGAAACATGTGTCTACCTCAGTACAATGGAAAATGGTCGCGCAATTTCGTGGATTGGTTAAAGTTAGAAATTAACATCATTGGATGTCAGCTCAGTGGTTCAGTAGGTTAAGCGTTCGCGCGCGAGACTGATGGCCCTGAGTTGGAATCCAGCGAGCAGGATCGTGGATGCGCACTGCTGAGGAGGTCCACAATAGTACAAAACGGCCGTCCATTGCTTCCAGGTTTTCAAAGGTGGTGGTCTAATATCAGTCGGTCCATGATTTCAAAAACCTAGCAATCTCCACAACCACTTTACTGATAATAAAGTTTATGATAAATAATGAAGGATGTACAAATGAAGTATTGAACATATGGTTAAGAGAGTAGAAAGAATAGAATGGAATGGAATGAATACTTGGTATTTAATTCCCAAGTAACAATTTTTCTTACTATCAAGTGATTTATTTTTACATGGGGAAACCTTAGTAACAAGCTATGTAACCGTCGTTTACATTTGATGGATAATTGGCTTTAGAGTTTTAGTTGATTATGCGTCAGCAGGTCGAATTACAAAATACAGTTTTCTATATTACAGAATAGTGAACGATAAAACAAGTTGGAACAATCGAATATATTTGAATACAACATTACAAAATCTCTCAGTACAATCTGAGAATCATACAGTGAATACTTTGTTTGTAAAATGTCAATTGATTGTCTCAGACTTCATTGTCCCTTCATTTCCACACCAATCATTCTTTGTTCTCGTCCTCTTTTCTTCTCTCTCTTCTTAACCCTCTGCCAACAGGTATATCACATTGGATTGATGATACATACTACTTATATCTATCGACATTAGTAGTACACACCATAACAGAATTATAAATCATACTTTAATTTAATAGTACAAATTGTAAACTGTTGTATCTCTTAGAAATATTTAGTTGGTCAGATTATTCATGAAATTCTTAAGTAACTGTAATTATGAGGATGTGGAGATCGTTGAATTTTATTTAAATTATGAACCAATGTAAGGAAGATAACTTCTGAAAACCTGAAAGCATTGAATTTTTATTGACGGCCGTTTTGTCCTAGTATCAGACTCCTCAGTAAACTCAGAACCTTTAAACCACAGAGCAGCAATCTAATCGTATACCAATCAAACTTCAATCAATCAACGATATTGAAAAACTGTTTTCACACTGGTTAATTTCAATTATTACAGATTCCAAGAATTCCCACTTGAAACTAGTCACAATTGAGCTTATGATAATCGTCAGTACGGAATTGTGAAAAGGATTTAGACAGTAAAACTGCTTTATGTTCATTAAAAATATTACTGGTTAACATACATGAACATGTTTATTAAGTGTATAAGATGATCACTGTGAACTGCATAAACCTTTGATATTCTAGTCTAATTTGTTGAAGCTGCAAGAATTAGTACGTTTCCTACCTAATTCACATTCGTCATCATGAAGACAACTTGTCAATGAGTCTAGTGGGAGTGAATTTTACTGAGTGGATTGTTCGGTAACAAAATCAATACACTGAGATCTTACTTGATATTGTACCATTCATGAATGGCAGTTTTAACATGAAAATTTGATATCAACTATAAGATGAATAGATGTAGAATTATTTAACACAAAACAATAAATGATGATCTATGTACTGATACACTGATTTTCTTAGATCAAATGACTTGTAGACACATAGTGAAGTAGATAGTGTTCTCACTGAATAAACAATATTATCATGTATTAAACGGTTTCGTACATTTCACAAAATTGAAGATACACAAACAACAAACAACGCTGGTTAACTGGACCATATCTACCTGACTCCGATTCTAACAGTTACAAATGTACCAAAGCTTCATTGTCCAGTCATGTGAATTGAAATACCTGATATGATATGCATAGTTTCGATAGACAATTAGACAA